GGGAGGAGCAAGCTGTGAATCACGTTGCATACTGCTGATGGGTTAAGTGAATGGATGGAGATTTCAGTATTGCATTTAGCCACAGAAAAGTCATGGGTGACCTTGACAAGAGCAGTTTCAATGGGGTGGTGGGGGCAAATGTCTGACCAGAGAATAGAATGAGGGAGAAGAATCAGAGGCAGCACATGTAGACCAATCTTCCAAGGACTTTTCCATAAAGGAGGCAGGAAATGGGACAGTAGCTGGAGAGGATGCGCGGTCAAAGGAGTTTTGATTTTTGAGATAGGAGAAATTACAGCATGTGAGTTGTGGTGGGAATGATCAATGACAGAGGAAAATTGTTGGCGGAGGAGAAAGCAAGGGGTGTGCCAGGTGAGATGTGAGGAGGTCTCAGGGACAAGTGGAAGGGTTGGCCTTAAATAAGGACTTGGCAGCTCATCCATAGTAACAGGAGTAAAAGTTGAATATATGGGACTTGTGGAGATTCTCTTCTAGTTGCTTCTATTTTCTCAGGAAAATAGGAAATAAAGTCTTTAGCTGAGACTGAGGGGGNGAATTACCAGCTGCACTAAGGGCCCTCTTGAATTCAACAGAGACCCATCAGTGTGTGTGTGTAATGGCAAACACATTTTTGTAATAATACTTCCCTGGTAGTACATCACATTAGGAGACAGGTTGTCCCACAAGCAGCAGTGCTGAATTTGATCATTGGTTAGGGTGATTACAGAATTTAACCTAGAATTTAAGCTTGGTAAGTGAGACTATTAGAGGCTTAAAGGGCAGTGAAAAGGTGATTGATAGAACGTAAGTCTTGGGCACAGCACAGGTCTACAGGACAAGTGTTTTTAAACGTTTGGTACCAATTATTCCGTTAATTGCTTTCTCTGTATTTCTAGCACACAGCCCTACTGTACCTGACCACAGCTGTGTGAGTCATTTAAACTCAGAACTTAGGTGGCTTTCTCCTTAACCCTAAGAGCTTACTTCCTGGCTACTTTTCATTTTGAACAGACAATAGGTTTGCCATCTTTGGAGATGCTTTTGACTTCAGTCATGTTTAGGAAGAATAATGACCCCGGTGACCAGGCACCTTACACTGCCCACTGTCCCTTCTGAACTTGGGGACTCAGTTGGTGTCTCCTAAGCGGTAAGGAATCCTCGCTCTCCCAAACAGTCAGTGTGGCATTTCCCTCAACCGGTGCTGCTGACCCACACGGTGGAGCCAGGTCTGTCTTGCCTGCCAGGAGGAGCTCCCGTCTGGGTCCCCAGCTCTTCACCAACCTTTCTCCTTCACTTTCCCAATTTACTCTGGTTAGATAAATCCAGCCTATCTTTGATGAATGACCTTGTTTTAAGTTGCTCTNCTAGTTGCTTCTATTTTCTCAGGAAAATAGGAAATAAAGTCTTTAGCTGAGACTGAGGGGGGAGGATATAATAGTAATCTAGAAGAGTGAGAGAGTGAACAGGCTAGGGAAATTTAGTAGAATTACCAGCTGCACTAAGGGCCCTCTTGAATTCAACAGAGACCCATCAGTGTGTGTGTGCGGGTGTGTGTGTGTGTGTGTGTATGTGTGTGTGTGTTTCTGTTCTTCTTTCCCCAGCACAATTCATCCACTAGGTGCAAGCACAGAGTAAGCTAAGAGTGGGATTCAGCCACAGTTGAGGTTTTAGCAGGCAATGGTGACAAAGTAAGGAGAGGGTCAAGGGAGTTGAGGACACAGAGAAGGATATTTTAATTTTAATGATGGACAATAAAAAATTTTGCAACTTTTTATTAAGAAATTTTCCAAATGAACAGGAAAGTTGAAAGAATAGTCCCCTCACTTTTCCCTGCCATGATGCTGACCTTTTGAAAAGACCAGGTCAGTTGTCTTGTAGGATATCACATTCTGAATTTCTCTCATTGTTTCATCATGATGTCATTTAATATATTCCTCTATTCCCTGTAATTGTTTGTAAACTAAAATTAGGTATAATGGCAAACAATAATGGCAAATAATAATACTTCCCTGGTAGTACATCACATTAGGAGACAGGTTGTCCCACAAGCAGCAGTGCTAAATTTGATCATTGGTTAGGGTGATTACAGAATTTAACCTAGAATTTAAGCTTGGTAAGTGAGACTATTAGAGGCTTAAAGGGCAGTGAAAAGGTGATTGATAGAACATAAGTCTTGGGCACAGCACAGGTCTACACAGGACAAGTGTTTTTAAATGTTTGGTACCAATTATTCCGTTAATTGCTTTCTCTGTATTTCTAGCACACAGCCCTACTGTACCTGACCACAGGTGTGTGAGTCATTTAAACTCAGAACTTAGGTGGCTTTCTCCTTAACCCTAAGAGCTTACTTCCTGGCTATTTTTCATTTTGAATAGACAATAGGTTTGCCATCTTTGGAGATGCTTTTGACTTCAGTCATGTTTAGGAAGAATAATGACCCCGGAGAACAGGCACCTTACACTGCCCACTGTCCCTTCTGAACTTGGAGACTCAGTTGGTGTCTCCTAAGCGGTAAGGAATCCTCGCTCTCCCAAACAGTCAGTGGGGCATTTCCCTCAACCGGTGCTGCTGACCCACACGGTGGAGCCAGGTCTGTCTTGCCTGCCAGCAGGAGCTCCCGTCTGGGTCCCCAGCTCTTCACCAACCTTTCTTCTTCACTTTCCCAGTTTACTCTGGTTAGATAAATCCAGCCTATCTTTGATGAATGACCTTGTTTTAAGTTGCTCTTCTGTGGCCGGTCACACTTCTCTTGCTGTATTGTTCTGCCTGATTGATTGGCTCTGTGTCTTTGCCAAGTTTGAGCCTCGGACTCTAAATAGCTGAGATATTGGCGCCCCCTAAGGGACACATGGATTTTAACTAGTTAGGTCTTTATTAACTAAAGGACATTCGGTTGAGTTAGTTTTACGTTTGGAGGTTTGTCTTTCGTTTGGAGTTTCTTATTCTCTCTTTTAAAAATTGATTAGCAATTCCTTAAGAGAAATAGACAGGCAAATGTGATTAATGCAGCGTACAGAAGCCTGAGGGGTCAGAGCAGAAAAATAGTTTGCTGCTTGTCCTCTAAGTACTTAAAAATTTTAGATACAAGTTTGTGAACAAAGACTATAAAAATTTCTTACTTTCTGCTTTAATTATAGAATGAGGTAGGGGAAGGTAAGAAAAGGAAGAGTTTTCAAATATTTTAATTAGTAAGAATTTTGGTCCTTTCTGCAGCATGATTTTTCTATCAATTTCCCCAGAATACAAATTGAAGCATCGAGAATTTTTTTTTGGGGGGGGGCAGCTGGGGTTCCAAACTCTCGACCCTGGTGATCCAAACCCTTGGCCTTGGTGATCCGAACCCTTGACCTTGGTGTTACAAGGCTGTGCTCTAACCAACTGAGCTAACCAGCCAGCTCTGGATTTTTGTTTTTGTTTTGTTGCTAGGAAAAGGAAAACTTGTCCAAAACTTGGGATGATCATTTGATGAAGATTATCTGGAATCAAATCAAGAGAATATTTGATTTAATAGACAATGTTTTGATTTGAAAATAGCATTTTTTTTCCCTGATACAAATAGCAAATAAGTAATTTACATGATATAATTCTGTTTTCATTCCTTGGCACTGCATTATTTCAAGGGCTTGATTTTAAAGTTTAAATAGGACTATGGAACACATCACAAATGTGAGAGTTTGACTAATACTTAGCTCCCAGCCTAATACATTCAGCCAGAGCAGAGCTCTTTTGGCGTAGTGTCTTCTATGGGACTGCATTCTGGCAGGCATTAACAAAACAACCTCACTAAAGCAAAGTCATCCTTTTAAGAGTCAGTTGTGAACTTTGAGACGGGGGAGCAAAGGTTGAGACAACCTCTTCAACCCAGTTGGAGAACCAGTTGCATACTACAGTAGCCACTTCCAAGTTTTGAGGGTTATGTGTTCTGAAGACCTCGATAGTGGGAGAATTTGCAGTTGAGAAAAAATTTTAGTGAGAAGTGGGGAGGGAGGACCAAAGTTGCAATGAATACATGAAAACCTATATAAAGTTCACCAAAATAAAAAAGTAACGACAACATCTGTAAGGATAATACCAATGACATTTTATGCATCTTGAATTTGCGCTATTGGCCACCATGCAAACTGCGCTATCTAATGGCTCACCACATCCTATATCATGAGAAAACCCTGTGACCCTGGAGACCTTGATGAACCATGATGGAATGTGAAGCCCCAAGAGAGCTTCTCTTTCCACCACAGTGTGCCTTCCAGGCCAGCCCAGGCAGGCCCTGGCCAAGCCCAGAGCCAGAAGAAGTGCTCAAGGGGATATCCCTTCAATTCCAGAATGATACCCCACTGGAGGGGCCAGGCCTGATTAGAGATTCTGGGGGATGGGTGATACTAGGCAGAACTGCTGGTTCCCAACTAACAGAGCAAGACTTTAATCATCTCAGCAACTCCTGATTCTGTGTCTCATTCTTGCAAGGGGCGGCACTGTTTGGAATGGGGCTAGATGGTACCTGGAAAGCTGGAGGTTCTCATGACTCTGGTGGTATGGAGGTTTCAGCTTCTTAACAGGCTTGCAGCTCGGACCCCAATAGTAGGTTGTCTATTGGTGACTTGGGGTCAGAGAAGAAAGGACAATAAGGAATGAAGCTGGAGGTTCTCATGACTCTGGTGGTATGGAGGTTTCAGCTTCTTAACAGGCTTGCAGCTCAGACCCCAATAGTAGGTTGTCTATTGGTGACTTGGGGTCAGAGAAGAAAGGACAATAAGGAATGAACTGTGCATGTTTTCTATCTTTTGCGATGCTCAGACAGGGAGTCAGTAGGTAGAAATGATTTCAGCTGGAGAAGGATGTTCTCATGCTAACAGAAGTGCTCACTCAACCTGAATAGTAGAAATCACGCACTGCATTTAGATCAACATGCATTTGTAAGAGAGCCACATGGTAGTCAAAATGCATCACCATGAGTTATCCTCACCCTTAAAAATTCATACCAAGGTTTGCTTTTTTTTCAGGTCCTCAAGTATGTTCCATGTAATGAAGCACAATCACTATATCTCCCGATTTGGCAGCAAACTTGGGTTGCAGTGCGTGGGTATGCATGAGAATGGCATCATCTTTAACAATAATCCAGACCTCTGGAAAGTAATTCGGCCTTTCTTTATAAAAGGTAAGCAGATACCTGGCTACGTTCTTCTCTTTTGTCTATGAATGTTCCTTTTTCTGCAATCGTATCTTAAATTCTGCTGCTCCACAGTTTTGGCATAATAATGGGAAGAAGAGCGAACATTCGTTACACCCTTACTGTGCAGTAGGCACTGTTCTAAGCACTGTGCTAATCCCACAGCAACCCCACGTGGTAACTACGCTTATCACCTACATTTTACAGATAAGGAAACTAAGGCATAAAGCAGTTAAGTAACTTGCCCGAGGTTCCAACATTAGTAAATGATGGCCCGGGGTACAACCCCAGAGCCTACGTGTTTAGTCATCACTAACTCTTTTCTTCCTGTTGATGTATGAAGTAATTTCATGGATGTGTAGAAAAGATGAAGAATTTAGTGCGTCAGCCATATGTTTGATTTAAACACTGTCAAACAATGTGTTTGCTGAATCACTGACTGACAGCCCAGATGTTCTGGCTGAAAGCAATTTGTAAATGACATTAGAGAATATTAGAACTGAGAACAACTGTAATGCTGTCTTGTCTAGGCTCTGAGTTTTAGAGTTGAGGAAATAAAGTCCTAGAGAAGTTATGATTTTCGCCCAGGCAACACAGTAAGCTGAGACCCAGTTCCAAGCCTCCTTATTCAGTGATTTCCCCCTTTTACTATATTATGCTGGAAATAAAACTCTTGGGGGATACACATGACTATCCTTTAACATCAGTAATTGTACCCTGGAAATCTTGTCAGTGATGGAAACTAGGGCTAGATGGATTTTAGGTCTGATCCTGTACCATCGATAGTCTTCTCTCCAGCCAGCCTCTGTAGTGAATCTAGTTGCCCCCTGCCCGGCTGCTATGACAGGGAACAGCCATGCCTCTGCTGGTGCCTGTGGAGTGTTGACCCCACCCTATAGAGCTGCCCACACCAAGACTCAGCACATCTCTGTTGTAGACCCCAGTGTATTAGTTTCCTATTGCTGCTGTAATACATGGCCACAACTAGGTGGCTTGAGATAACACATTCATTATCTTACAGTTCTATAGGTCAAAAGTGTGACATGGGTCTCAACAGGCTAAAATCAAGGTGTTGGCAAGACTATGTTCCCTTCTGGAAGCTCTAGGGGACAATATTTTCCTTGCCTTTTCCAGCCTCTAGAGGCCACCCACACTCCTTAGCTGCAGCCCTTTCCTTCAAAGCCAGCAGCAGTGGGTCAAGTCTTTTTCACATTCCATCTCTCTCACCCTCCTTCTGTCATCACATCTCTCTCTGACTTTGACCTCAGCTAGGAAAGTTTCCTTGCTTTTAAGGACTTGTGTGATTAAGGTGGAGCCACCCAGATAATCCACAATAATCTCCCCATCTCAAGGTCCTTAACCTTAATCATATCTGCTGAGTCACTTTTTCCATGTAACATATTAATAGGTTCTGGGGATTAGGCCTAAGACAACTTCAGAGGGCAGTTATTCTGCCTACCACTCTGGTTGTGGCAGACCAGTTTCCTCGTGCCTTACAAATTTGCAGAATAAGTTAATGGAAAAAAGTATAGGACTCAGAGTTATTGGTAGTGAATTCAAATCCCAGCACTGCCACTTACTAGCCACATGACCTTGGGCAAGTCACTTAGCCTCTCCAAGGTTCATTTCCTCATCCATAGAAGGTGATAAATATTATAAAACTTACACTCTAGGGCTATTGTGAAGAACAAATGAAATAATGCTATAAGATCCCATGGAAATGTAAGTTTTATTTTATTTTGTCTTTGGCCCAGGTGTATCAGGAACATATGAACTAGTTATTTAGGAGCAGTTAACTTTCACATGCCAATATCCTCCACCCTGACATGTAAGAGCTAATAGAGTCTCCAAATTCATCCATTTGTTTAACAAATTACTGTTCTCTCATGGCGTCAAGATGCAATAACAAGACACGGTCCCTTGAGGAACTTATAATGGGGGTTAGGGGACACTGGGAAGGGGCAAACCATCAAGTACCATCCCTGGTGATAGTAAAATTCATCCATTTGTTTAACAAATTACTGTTCTCTCAAGGCATCAAGATGCAATAACAAGACACGGTCCCTTGAGGAACTTGTAATGGGGGTTAGGGGACACTGGGAAGGGGCAAACCATCAAGTACCATCCCTGGTGATAGTAATGCTAGAGGTATGTGCACAGAGTGGCACAGGACACAGATGAATGTTCCATCCAAAGCCACCGAGGGGACAGGGGAGAATTTTCAGAGGAGTGGATGCTTATGATGAATTTTGAAAGAAGGTTAAAGCTACCTAATTAAGAAAGTATGACAAAGAAAGACATCCTAGAAGTAAAGAACAGGATATTCAAAAGCAGAAAAGGGTAGATCAACATGACATGTGAGGGACCTGTCGGTAGGCCCTTGTGCCTGGCATGGACACATGCAGGGAGGAGGCCAGGGGAAGGCAGGGCCAGATCACCAAGGACCCCTCTGGTTAGCCAAAGAATTGCGTTTACCTCAGATGCTATGGGGAATCACTAAAGATTTTAAGCAGAGTGACATGAACGTATTTGCGTTTCAGAAAAGTCCCTGTGGTAGCAGAGTGGACGACTGCTTGGAAGGAAGCATGACTGTGAGCAGGGAGAACACTCGGGAGCTGCTGCAGGGGTGCAGGGCAGGTGGAGGGAAGGCCACAGGCCTGAGAGATAAGAGTGGAAACTACAGTCCTTGGAAATTAAATTAATCAAAACATCTTTGTGACTGTTTAAAATATTAGCCCTATCCATAGAAGATCAGATTTTCCAATAAAAATATTACGGAACTGTAGTCAAATTACAGGCCAAAAATAGGGGGCTATTGCTTATTTAAAGTTCACTGTAATGTCTGACATTTTCATAATTGATGCGAGTCCTAAGCATCTTGACGAATCTCCCTTTAGAGTTAGATTTCTTGTTGGTTTTTCTGATGTAGTAGAAAGTTCAGGACAGGTTTTGGTGTCTAAATCAGTAACATTAGTGAAAGTATTGACTTACCAGCTGTGTCTGTGAAGAAATAGTTAAGCACAATGGTCCATCCTGGGAGATGGTGGGAGTGGGAATAGGGGGGAAGAAAAAGAGCATGTGTTTCCCAAAACTGCCAAGAGAGTTATCTATATTAATGGAATTTGCTGATTACTTGTTCAATTTTCTTTTGACCTGGATAGATGCAGTACTTTTTAGCACATTTAAAAAAATTAAATCATGTCTAAATCATACCACCACCTATAAGCAATGATAGTACATTTTGCCTATAAATTTGAAAAGGTCGTTTCAAGCTCTTGGATGGAGAGGTGTGCCACCGGGCCGGCCCCAAGATTTTAAGCAGAGTGACATGAACGTATTTGCGTTTCAGAAAAGTCCCTGTGGTAGCAGAGTGGACGACTGCTTGGAAGGAAGCATGACTGTGAGCAGGGAGAACACTCGGGAGCTGCTGCAGGGGTGCAGGGCAGGTGGAGGGAAGGCCACAGGCCTGAGAGATAAGAGTGGAAACTACAGTCCTTGGAAATTAAATTAATCAAAACATCTTTGTGACTGTTTAAAATATTAGCCCTATCCATAGAAGATCAGATTTTCCAATAAAAATATTACGGAACTGTAGTCAAATTACAGGCCAAAAATAGGGGGCTATTGCTTATTTAAAGTTCACTGTAATGTCTGACATTTTCATAATTGATGCGAGTCCTAAGCATCTTGACGAATCTCCCTTTAGAGTTAGATTTCTTGTTGGTTTTTCTGATGTAGTAGAAAGTTCAGGACAGGTTTTGGTATCTAAATCAGTAACATTTGTGAAAGTATTGACTTACCAGCTGTGTCTGTGAAGAAATAGTTAAGCACAATGGCCCATCCTGGGAGATGGTGGGAGTGGGAATTAGGGGGGAAGAAAAAGAGCGTGTGTTTCCCAAAACTGCCAAGAGAGTTATCTATATTAATGGAATTTGCTGATTACTTGTTCATAAGTCTAATGTTTTACACATATAACCTGCAATTAAGCAGGATGCACCTTAGATCAAGTAGTTAAAGTCCAATTTGACTAGTTCTTTAGTAATATTCTGCCACCTGTTGAAACACAAAAATATGATCTGTAAGTCTAATGTTTTACACATATAACCTGCAATTAAGCAGGATGCACCTTAGATCAAGTAGTTAAGGTCCAATTTGACTAGTTCTTTAGTAATATTCTGCCACCTGTTGAAACACAAAAATATGATCTGGCCAAACCCAAACCTTCTTTAGAGGGAAATATATACAATAAATACGAAAAATCACTGATTTGTGATTTATGACCACAAATACTGTTTGTTTGTTTCACTTGCAATTGCACAAGTGATTTTCCAGACCATGAAGAAAAGTTTAATTTTGAATAGGTTGTTTAAAATAATATTTGTTCATTCTTTTTTAACCATAAATGTAGTCCATGCTTGTAGAAAATTAGGAGAACTCAGAAAAGTATGAAAAAGAATAAGAAAATTTTCACCCAATTATTGAATTAAAAATTGTGGAGTTCACGATGGCTGATTCTCTGATGTGTGCCCTTCAGCTTTGTCAGGCCCTGGGCTTGTTCGGATGGTGGCGGTTTGCGTTCAGTCCATTGTAACGCATCTGGACAGGCTGAAGGAGGTAACCACTGAGTCGGGCTATATTGACGTGTTGACCCTCATGCGGCGCATCATGCTGGACACCTCTAACATGCTCTTCTTGAGGATCCCCTTGGATGGTACTGAAATTTTCATTCTCGTGACTTGACATTCTGCCTTTTATTGGACAGGGGTAGCAGGGATAGCAGGCTAAAATGAACATTTGTGTTTTTACATTGCTCTTGTTTAAACATTTCTAAGTATTGCTAAGGATCTTCCCCTAGTATTTCTGCCTTATTCACTTCTAAGGTATACATTTCCATGAAGTAGGGGCCAGCTTCTATTTCTTTTGTATCTCTCCTCATTATTGTAGGAAATGGGATTCTACACAGAGTCAAAACTTATCTAATGTGATCTGTTTGTTTGGTCATTAACATATCCCACCACCAAACTGATGTATTTACCCATTTTCAACCACTCTTTTGGGCCTGGAGTATACATGTGTATATATACATGTATATATATATATATATATATATATATATATATATATACACACACATGCACACACGTTCCCCCCTTCAAAGCTACTAAACACAAGAACTTTGACTCTGTCTAAAATGATGCTGCTGCTGCTGCTGATGGAAATGATGATAATAGATGCTATTAATTTAGTATATATTATGTGCCAAATAATATAAAAAGTTGCTTTTACATATATGTTTGCCATTTAATATTTATAACAACGCCAAAAAGACGTCTCACTCAAAAGGCTACTTTCCTCACTATGATATGGAAATGAATATTAAAATATGTGCACGCAACTCTTCTAGAACCAGAAAACAAACACTAATCATTTGGATTAAATCCTTTCTGCTGCTGACATTATGTCCAGCTTAATGTGATTTTTCCTGAATTAATTCATGCAGTATTCATTGATTCATACATTCATTCAACAAATATTTATTGACTGCCTATTTTATGCCAGGCACTGTTCTAGGTTATGGGGATAGAGCAGGTAACAAGACAGATAATGTTTTTGCTTTCAAGGAGCTTACATTCCAGTGGGGGAGATGGATAGTAAAAGAAGTAAATATCTAATAATATATTGGGCAATAATAAGTGCTTTGAGGAATAATGTTTTTGCTTTCAAGGAGCTTACATTCCAGTGGGGGGATGGATAGTAAAAGAAGTAAATATCTAATAATATATTGGGCAATAATAAGTGCTTTGAGGAAAAAACAGAAAAGGGTAAGAGGACGGAAAGTGGCATAGGGAGTCAGTGGGGGTGGGCATGGCTATGACGGAGAGGGTGGTCAGGAAAGGCCTCTGCAGAGAGGACATTTGAACATAGCCTGAAGGAAGTGAGGCCAGGAGCCCTGTACCGATCTGAGGGAGGAACATTCCAGGCAGAGGAACAGTGCATAGTTTTAACACTTGCCCAACTCAGCTGAGCCTGCGGCCTGACTTACCACACTGGACAAACAGACGAGCTACAGGCCTGCCCTTTCTCCTCTCCAGCTCTCATCGCCTCGTTTCCCCTACTCTAACTGCTCCTTACGAGAGCTGTAGAAACCTTGACTGTTGCCATTTGGATGGGAGCCCCCATTCACTCAGAATTTTTAGTTACTCCCTCTCACCACATTCCCTTTCATACAGGGACTCCACTCCAGCATGCCTGTTCTGCAAACATCCCTTCTAAAGTTAGGCAGGCACGTATTTTACAAGCCCTGGCTCCTCAGTTCACCTCTAATCTTGATTGTTAGGAAGAATCACGTAAGGGGAATTGTAAACCTCTCCGTTAGCTTATGGATCCACACTGTGATGCCAGAGGACCTGCATAACCCATACAGAGTTAGATTTATGTCCCTTTTCACTGGGTCCTTGTTAAACTCTCAATTTGCCTAAGGGACCCAATGCAACGAAGAAGAGAGGACATCACCCTGGGGTCAGACAGAACCAGCTCCATTCTAAGTGCCTGCCTTAGGCGTATAGTGGTGGGCAAGTTGCTTAATTTCTATGAATTGTAGTTTCTTCAGCTGCAAAAGGATGACACTGCTATTCTCCTGGCAAGATTGTAGGGATTAAATTAAAAATCTTTTCTGCAAAGCATCTAACATGGTGGCTGGTATTTAGCAGCTGGAAGTAAATGTCTGTTCACTTCCCTTTTGTGTATTGAGGGGGTATAATTAGAAAAAAGCAAGGATTTTCTTTTCTCAAGTATTCAGTTTAAAGAACATTAATTAAAAGTTGACTATGCACAAAGCCCAGGACAAGGTACTGAAGAAACTAAAGTGAATTCTGCACTCTGGACTAAGTATAAATAAATATGAAAGCTCTGTGATGAGGTCTATGAAAAAAATGAATAAATCCCTATGAGGTGGGAATACACTTAGGATTAACTATGAACTATTATTATTAATTAATTAGGTGTGTAATCCAAGTAGATTATCCACTTAATGGCTCTGCTTACCCAACACCAACTGAAGCTAAGATGTGGCTGTTAGCTGCCTAACAGGCTCTGCTTTTTGCCCTCCCAGGTGCCAAAGTTGAGGCCATAATAGCCATAATTACTAGTTCCCTTTGTCCAGAAAACCAGGAGAGAGTTGGAGGCTCAGCCAAGGGGAGAGTCTAGGCTATGTCTCAAACACAAACTTGAAAACTGGCAGCCCTCTGGTTAACCTGGCCGATTTCAACACTGAGCAGCATAAATTAGTGCTTAATTTGTCTAGTGGCATTCACGTGGCTAAAATGTCCTCTGAGGGTGGGAACTTGCTCAGCTTAGAACCCTGGACTGATAGGAGAATCTACAGAGAATGTTATTTGCTCAAAGCTCCCTTCTTAGCTCACGTTTTGCTCAACTGCTCTGTGTTTCTTTTTCTTTCTTCCTTTCTTTTCTTTCTTTTTTTTTTTCCCTCCAGAAAATGCCATCGTGGTTAAGATCCAGAGTTATTTTGAGGCATGGCAAGCTCTCCTTCTCAAACCAGATATCTTCTTTAAGATTTCTTGGCTATACAAAAAGTATGAGAAGTCTATGTAAGTAACACAAGTTTGGAAGATTTATGGGTGCAATTAGACTGTTTTGTTGGTTTTTTTTCATTGTGTCTCTGCTGCTGTTGGCCTCTTCAGTATGTTTTCTGCTGTCTAGAGCCCACAGGAAGCGATTGATTAAGTTGGTGATGGAATACTTCTTACAGCAATTATGGCCTGCATTTGGCCTGGCTAAAGAGTAAAGAAGCCTTTGGCTGGGCAGCTCCTCAGCAAGAGGGCTGAGTGTGTGGTCTGAGAGCTTCATTTCAGAAACTGGGATACTGCAATGTATTTTGAGTTGAGGGTTAGTTGATTCTATCATTAATATCTGTCAAAACCTCTTTGCATATCTGGAAAAATGGAAACAATCAATTTATAGTTGTATTGCTTCTAAATGAATATAACATAATTCGACTTGTAAGAATTGACAGTAGTCTCAAAAGAATTTTTTCATAATGGATGTAATGAACTCCAATAAAATATGTGATTTTTTTTTTTAGTTATATATTTTGTGTTTCGGTCCTGAAACTGTCATTAAATGGCTTTGTTTTGGTCTTAGACTAGTCTAGCAGACAACTTAACAAATGCCTAATGTCAGACTTGTCAGTGAGTTTTTAGAGCGTGAGTAGCTGGCCACTAAACACTACCACCACTAACCAACAGTTGAAAGCCCATAGGACCTAGAGGCAGATAGTCCTGGTTTGTATCCTGTCTCTACCATTTGGTAACTAAATGGCCTTGGGAGTTATTTAAAGTAAAATATAGCCTACCTTCTAAAGTGGGGGTATAGGTTAATGAGATCATACAAGTACAGCAATTAGCACAGAGCCTGGCATATCAGAGGCACTAAATATGTTAGTGGCCCCCTTCCCTATGTTCATCTTTTCTTCAGAGGCCCCTGATCATCTTAAATTCCCCATCTCTAAAAGTTCCCAAACTTGTATGAAGATCCAACTTCATCCTATTTATGGATTTTAGAATTTGATAATATTAGTTTCTAGGGAGGATGCCAACGTGATGTTGCTTTGTATATTCTCATGTGATTGATGAGTATTACATGAATGATTTGGACACTTGGTTGGGTATTTACACATTTCCACCAGAGCTTACTGTGATTAGACTCATTTAGATAAAGGATTTGTCTCTTCACTGTCATCAGATTTGGCAATGGTGGAGGTAGTGGTCTGAAGAGTCTCATTGTATAGTTCTTGATCATTAGTTTAGCCTTGGCCTTGGCCATCGGATCCATAGAAACTTATTGCATGAGACTGCATAACAGTTTCTCCTAGGTTTCTGTAAAAGTTAGCTCAGCAACATTCCTTCTCCACATATAACTTTTCCCAATGGTTGGTGAACTGGTTTGCATCTCCTATGTCCAAGAGTAATAAAGATCTGGGGAAATCTTTTCGTCTCTTCCCCCTATGTCCTTTACAATAATGCCAATACTTTAAAACAACACATGTATGGAAAGGATACTGGGACATCTGTCCCCCCTCTATTCAATTTTATATTTTTACCTCTTTTAATTCCAAATATTATAGCAGTATTGTTTTCTACTTTTTATTTTAACAAATTTAAGGCTTTTCAGCCACATAATACTTAAATAGGTGTTTGTAGGCTAGGCTGGCAACTTGCACATACGTTCTTGTAATATGTGTTTGTTATTCAGAGACTTTCTATTCCATGAAAATTGTCATTGAGCTCAGTTCTTCCAGTTTTGTAGGGTATATATAAATTCAGGTACATACATTTATGTGGAGCCAGCTTTAAACTTAAATAGGAGGGATCTCAATGGGCTTTCACAAGCCTATGATGCAACACCTTGGATTCTGGCCCAGGCAGGAAGTAACTGCTCAGTAGTGGCTGCAGTTCCATCAAGGAACTCCCATAAATTCAAAGTCTAGGGGTATTCTAACACCCCCCAGACCATTTTGGGGCCAGTGCTCAGGGAGAAAAGCTATGAGCATTCTCAGCCTACTAGGAAGGGAGCACCACAGCCTACCAACTGAGTGAATATCTGTTCTTTGCATGCAGGAGATGCTTAACAAATACTTGCTGGACAAATGGATGGGTGGACGAATGAATGAATGTGAATATCTCCGTGGTGTGTATGGAGGTGTGTGGGTAGACACACTCACAGAGATACACAATATGTGGCTCCCTCAGTCAGGGTGACACAATTACTATATTATCCTGAAGAATATCTCTCAGAATGTTTAAATATCTTGCTTGTGATGTTCAAAAGAAACTAAAAAATCTGAGAAGGTGGGGAGGTTAAAGAATCTTCCCTTACTTTTCCTGCTGAGCTGGAGTAAACAGAGAGGCTGTTTATGTCAATAGTATAAACAGGGCATTTAAGTATATAGGTGACATGTCAATGTGAATTTGAAAGAAAGATTTATTGTTCATTTGACATAATACAGAACATTGTTTCCCGGGATCAGGGAACAATACATTTGTGCAAGAACATGTACACTTAAGGACAGAAGTAGAATTTAGATCTCAAAGTGACCTTACTGTTCATCTAGTCTGATCCTTCCACTTTAAAAGAGATATTAGGCTCAGAGACTTAAAGCAGGTTACATAGAAAGAGAACACTGTACACCAGAAACAGATCCTCTGTCCAAGGTGCTTGTCCCTCGACCACACATATGCATATACATATTTATTTATTTATTTATTTTGTCTTTTTCCGTGTCNGCGCCGCCGCGCTTCCCAAGCGGCGCACTATCCAGTGCGCCACCGGGCCGGCCCTGCATATACATATTTATGCAGCTAACCATTCATTCAACAAATATTTGTTCAGTGTTTACAGCATGGCACAAATTACAGGGTATGAGAATAAATATCAAGAATAACACTCAGTCACTTGACTTTACTGTCTACAACAGGAACCTCAAACCCAGTAGTCTTCAGGACTAGGCAAATAAAAGTGAGCTGTGTAGATGTAAGACAACAGGAAATGGAGGTGCCCGTGGAACAGTAAAGCATTCATTCGTGGGTTTTATTTTTTTTAATTTAAACACTATGCCTGCCAAATCAGAAATTGGAAAATGTGGTTGGATTTAGCCTTTTGGTACCAGTTTTTAACCCTTAACTAAAGGTCACAGCTTTGATATTGCTACCAGTATCTAAAAATCTTAGCTAACTCCGGTACCTGAACATGAAGTATAAGATATATATAATTTAAGGATATTTGTGAAGAAATAAAATATACATCCACTTACTCATGAGCACCAATGGCTTTAATTAAAGCAAATAATTTTGTTTAAACAAATGGCAAATCAATCTGTTTTGCTAGATGTCTGAACTAAGTACAAATAGACTATATTTTGACTTTTTTTTCCAGCAAGGATTTGAAAGATGCCATGGAAATTCTGATAGAAGAAAAAAGACACAGGATTTCCACAGCAGAGAAATTAGAAGATTGTATGGATTTTTCCACTGAGTTGATTTTTGCCGAGGTATTTACCTGGACTAACCATAATTCCCACACAACATACGTTATGACTGTTTGTGTATGGGTTTGTAAAGATCTTCTTTTCTAAGTGTTGAGTATTTCTG